TGACGTTCGTGTTCCTAAAGCATGCGGTTACCAGAGCATCCATGCCCAAACCATAATGACGTTCGTGTTCCTAAAGCATGCGGTTACCAGAGCATCCATGCCCAAACCATAATGACGTTCGTGTTTCTAAAGCATGCGGTTACCAGAGCATCCATGCCAAAACGATAAGACTTCGCACTTTGACATGCCCTTCTCGCTGAGGCGGTTATTAAGACATGTAGATACATATAGGTGTATGCGTATACATAGATGAAAGCATGAATTACATCTCGACCATGTTTGGCGTCTTTGACATTTTGGCTGTAGGGCAGGACATTGAGTTTGGATGTTTCGAATTTCGACCAATCTATGCTTTCAGGTCTAGAAGTACGTCTGTAAGGATTTCCTTTGGAGGGCTGTCTTTTCAGAGGGCATGCGTCCATTTCAGGCATTCTTAGTCTTTAGGAATGTTTCTAGTCCTGCACCTTGGACTTCGGGGCAATTGGGGGTTTGCCTTGCGCGCTGCTGTAGCTGCATGGCACCGCGGTTTTTAATTCCCCTGAATCGTTACACATTCAGGATACCTCAGACCAAAAGACCACTGAAATCCTAAATTTGGGGGAATGAAAAATCGCGTATTCCGTGCATACGCAATGTGCTCCGAAGAGCACGAAACACTGCGCCAGTGGTGAAAACGAACATGCCGATTTTGCGGCCTGATGTGACAAGCAAATCGCATGTTGCAAAGCCAACGTAAAAAAATAGAAATCTTTACGCCCCGACTATGCACCTTCGAAAACCTCCAAACACTGTACAGCGTGGGCTCTTCGCACACGTGACCGAATTGCGTCTGGGCAAACGCCCAGGGCGCGTCCTGATTGTAGTAGAGTAGGTCCGGGACGTCGCCGAAGCCGGATTTAGTAGCCCGTACGTGGGTTGCCAAGGTTGTCCAAACGGGTATAGACCCGTTCTTTTTCCATGTCCATCAGCTGCCACTTCCTCAGCTCATGCGCCCTAAGAAAGAAGTCGACGGAAAATCCTGAAAATAGACGGCAAACCCAGGTGTCCGGGCAAATGTCGGACAAGGACTGCTTGAGGTTCTCAGGAACTTCCAACCAGCTTGTAGTCTTCGCCCGGCCGAGACGACATAGGCGCCCGTAGGCCACTTAAGTCGGGTGACACCCTGGTCGTAGATGAACCACGGATTCGCGCTCACTTTTTGATGAGGTTCTCTTGCTCGAGGACGCGCTCGCGCTCCAAGGAGATCTTCGCATCCGCCTCAAGCACGCCTTCCTCCTTTGGAGTGCGCCTGCCCTCAGACTCGGTCTGCTCAGCAAGCTCTTGTTCCTGGATCACCTTGCGCAGGTCGTCCAAATTAAACGTGGGAGTGCCCATTTTGTCATCTGGTTCCTCCGCTTGCAGCTGCTGACGATGAGCTTGGCTCAGGTACCGCTCCCATAGGAGAGCCTCCTGCTGCCCGTGGCTCTGAGGATTCCGTTCCCATAGCCGCATATGGAACGTCACGTACTTGGCTGGGATGGTCTGGTAGCAAAGCGCCACACCATTGTCCGCAAGGAAGGCGAGTAGCCGCCCGAAAGGAGCTCCTCACACTTCACGTTGCAATAGGACAGGTACCGGCCATACTGAATGTGTGTTCCATAGCGTGGCGCCTCCGAGCCTCCAGCGTAGGTCATGTGGATCGCGATGCGGCTGGACTGACCAGGGTGTCTAGTCTTGCCCAAAGCCAACCCTTGCTCTTTGATGCCTTCCCAATTCTTGTTGCGGATGGCGTGAAAGATGTAGCCAAGGGCTCTGCAACGATCCAATGACAGAGGCTCTCCGAGAGTTGAAGGAGCGGCTGTATCGGACACCCTAGAGCGCCCTTGGATGGCCGACAAGCTGATGCACCAGTCAATGCTTGGAATGTCGTCGTAGTGCAAACGACGAAGCTGAACATGAACTGCAAACCTCGACCTGGTATTCCCAAGAAGGAAACCCAAGATCTTGTGAGGCGCCCAGCTAAAAAAGCCTGGAGCTCGCGGTCAATGTTCTTAAAGAGAGCATCGTTGTAGCGGCCAAGGCTCAGGTCATGATTGTGGCGAAGTGTATAGGTCAAGCGTTTGCTTGTCCTGACTTGCCAACAGTTTTGATCAGCGAGCGAGGCAGTATAGCTCTCGTCCTAACTGTTTCATGACCATGAGCTGTCCTTTTGACACAGCTCCCAAGAAATAAGCCAAACTGTTGGCTTTCCACACTTGTCTCGGGGCCAGGACGTGAACCGCTGGATTGGCCTCTTCATAGGCCATGATGTGGTGAACCAGCGCTACCTCGAGAATCTCCAAAGCACTCAGTGGGTTCAAGACCTGCTCCGACGTCACGCCCTGTATTTGGCAGTATGTGTCGTAGATCTTCTTGTTTGGCACCGGAAAGGTACTTGGAGAGGATCTCTCTCCATCAGGCATATAGGCAGTCTCTCCGGTCCCTCCGCAAACGCGGAGCCTCCGGCGCTGCATCCACATGCCACTCTTGACATACTCTGAGTAATCTGGGA